GTGCGAGAAGTGTCCGGAGTGTCGTGAACATTGGTGTAGAGGCGTAGACGGAGTCTTCGTCCTCGATCTTCTCGGTGTAGCCTTTTGCGACGATTCGGCTTCGTACTCCTGGTCCTTTCTTTCTGTGTACCCATCTTGTAGGTATCGCTTCTCTGATGACGTTGTCGTTGACGGTAGACGCATCTACTTCGTCGTAGACGTCGTGTAGTTTCATTTGGTTTGACTCGTGTTTCATTCCTTCCAGTAGTTGTGTTTCGTCGTAACCTTCGTTGTCGAAGATTATGGGTTGGTCTTCTGAGGTGTCGTCGTTTGTGTAGGGAGTGATGGATTTTCCGTTGGGAAGTGTCACTGCGTTGATTTTCTGTCGTAGTGGTGGTGGTTCTTTGGTTGCTTGCTCCGTTGATCTGATTGTAGTGTCCTTTGAGGTCTTCTGTGCTTTAGTTGGTTGCATTACTTCTTCCGGAGTTAAACGTCGTAGTGTTTGTCGAGGTGGTGCTGGTAGTGGTGGATGTTGTCGTCCGGTTGGTGAAGTAGCCATAGGACTATCCGGTAGTGGTCGTGAACTTGACGTCGATGTGGACGGAAGTCGTGGAGGTGGTGTAGTGCGTTGTTGTTTTGTTGCGGGTTCCGCAACGATGTCGTCCGTAGCGTTCGTTTGTTGTCCGAAATCTTGCGTGGACCTTCTTTTCTCTGACGGTGGTAGTTGCGCATCCAACAGTGTTGCGAACGATGGGTTGTAGGTGTTCCGTCGTGGTGCCCATGGTGTGCCGGAAACTTTGTTCAATAGTGCGAGGTCGTATTTGAAGTCCGGTTGTAGTCTCCGCACTGTTCGTACCTTTTGTACGCCTGATTCCGTTGCGACGTAGTTTTCTCCGGTTTCGGAAACTTTTCCGAGCCAGATGCATTTCTGCATCCGTAGGTCTGCTTTTGGAAGTTTCTTGTGTTGTGGTGGAAGGTAGAGTAGTGTCTCGCCAAATTCGCAGATTGCTCGCTCGTAGTTTCTTCCCCAGCGGCGTTCAAAGCTTGTGTAGCCGTCTGAGTGGATGACGTAGCGATTTACCGTCCATGCTGCATGTCGTACTATCCAAGGTAGTAGACAGTGCTTTGTGGACATCGTCATGCTGTAGTTGCTTTCAACCTGAGCTTTGACGACGCGGATTTGTCCGAGAAGTGTTCTATGTAGTCGCTCAACGCTTCCTTGACTGTTGCTGCTGTAGGAAGGTGAATGTCGTACACTCATTGTGCCGACTTTTGCTGCTGTAGCTTTTAGAAGTGCGTTGAGTGTGTCTTCGTTGTCGCTTTGTAGTATGCCTTGTGTTCTTCCGCACTCAAAGATGAATGCTTGTAGGTTGTTGACCATGTAGTCCATCATTGATGGTTTGTCCGGAACCAATACTGCCATACACAGTTGTGTAGTAACATCAACTGCTGTCAGTACCGGTGTGGTCTTTGGGTCTGTTGTGACTTGATGTAGGCAAAGTCTACTTGAATGACAGGTTGTCGTGATTGTTGTTTCTTGTAGTTGTCTTGGCGTCCTTTGCCTTGAACGCAAATTGGACACCAGTTTCTGTATGGTAGATGTGTAAGGTTGTGTTCTGCTATTTGTTGTGGAGTGGGCTGCTGTGGTTGTCGTAGTCCTCTTGCTCTGTGTGCTTCATGATGCTCGTGTTGTTGTTCTTCATCGTGGCTCTCCTGGATGTACTCGTAGTCTTTCTTCACGGTGAACCTTGTTGTTCCTTTCCATTGAAATGGTAGTGCTGCGTTGCCCATGACTGTCCAGTCATCTTTGCGTTGTGAAACTTCTCCAAAGTTGTTGTGGGTGACTGTAGTTCTGTGAGGCTCAAGTGTGTTGATTGGTGGATGTCCTGGTCCATCTGTTGGAGTGAAGAGAGTTGTTCTAAGCGTTGTGTGGTGCCGTATCCATTGTTCACCTTGTCTTTCCCAGTAGTCTTGGTTGTCCTCCTGCGCTGTGAGGGGTCTGTGGATTGTCTCCTTTGGTTGTGTGGTGTCAAGATTTGTAGAAGGTGCTGCTTTAGGTCTCCATATCTTTTGTGGCGCTCGTAATTGGATCTTTGATCTGGTTGGTGGTGTGTCCATTAGCCGTTGTGGTTGTGAGCTCTGCCTTGTTGGTGTGGTCTTTGATGTTGCTCTGCGTGTAGGTGTTATCTTTCTTCTGAATCTGGTTTCTCCAGTCCAGTTGTCACCTTCTAGTCTTCGTTGTAGTTCTTGCTTGGAAAGTTGTGTTGGGTTCTCTTGTAGTTGTTCTTGCTCTTGCCCTTGTCTGTTGATGATGGTTAGTCTCCAATCATCTAGTTCTCCTTCTGGTATTGGGCAGCCACTGTTGTGTGGTGTGAACAGTGCTTTGCGTGGTCGTTTGTGTACTCTGATGGCGTAGTCACCATCAAGTTTCCAGTAGTCAGTGTTTCCACCAAGGATCTGTCGTAGTCCTTGGTCTGTGTGTGTGAGTGGTGCGATTTGTTCTTGTTGTTGCGCTGCTCTCTCTGTAGGTTGAATCACAGCAATGGATTTTCCATTGTCTGTAGTCATTGGGTAGATGTCGAATCCTGTAGGAATGTCGATCTTCTCTGCTCGTAGGTAGAAAAGTCCTGAGTGTCTTATGAGGTGTGCTTGTTGTTGTCCATGTGTGATGGTGCAGTGTCGTGGAGTGAAGTCAAGTCCATATCCTCTATCAAGTAGTCTTGATGCACTGAGGATTGGATACTTCACATCACAAACGTAGTAGGGTATCATGATCCTGAAGTTGTCCTGCTTGTAGGGAACGTACTTGATGCCGTAGACTGGAATCTTCTTGTTGGTCACCGTGTAGAGTTGTGGAACTGATTCTCCACAGGGTCGTAGTGGAAGATCCGGTGCGTAGTCCTTTGGGCAAACATGTGTAGATGCTCCTGAGTCGATCAACAGGTGGTGGTATGACTTGAAGTTGGAGTACATGATGTAGTGGGTGATAGTGTCCTCAATCTTCTTGTTCCTTTGTTGTTGTCTTGCTGCTGCTATGTCGAAGTGTAGCTTTGTGGTGTCTTCTTGTAGGAATTGTTGAAAGCTCTTGCTGTGGTCGTTCCATGATGTTGTGTGTGTTGTTCTCTTGCCAAGTAGTGATTTGGATTTGTGCTTGTGTAGTCGTGATTTTGCTTGTCTGATGTGTCCAATGGTGAGGTGTGACTCGTTGATGCCTCCAATGTAGTTCGCTGTGTCCTCATAGCTGTTGTCATTCCAATCCCAGCTGTTGTCATAGTCGTAGTCGTTCCAGTTCTCCTCCATGTAGTTCACCTCATGTTGTCCTTCTTCTCCTTCGTAGTACCAGTCCCAAGTGTCGTTCACATCCTGAAATAGTTCATCATTGTTGTCGTGATTTGCTTGTTCTTGTTCTAGTGGATGTCGTTCTTCTCCTTCTCCTATGTGCCATACCGGCACTCTGCAGTCTTGTGCCCAGTGGCCGGGCTTGCCACATCGATGGCATGTTGTGTAGTTGTTGCTTCCTTTTCCTTTTGATTTGCTGTAGTTTCCTTGGCCTTTGTAGCCTTTGCTTGATCCATATCCTTTGGATCCTGAGTAGCCTTTTCCTTTGCTCTTGTTGTATCCTCCTTTGTTGTAGTTTCCTTTGCTGCCTTTGTCGAATCCTTTGTAGTGTCCTTTACTCCTGTACTTGCCTTTGCTCTTGCTTCCTTTGTAGCCGCCTTTTCCTTTTCCTTTGCCTTTGTAGCTTCTTCCTTTCCTCCATATGTTGTCAACATCCATTGGTGCAGTTCCTCCATTGTAGTTTGTTCCTACTGCTGAAGTAGATCTAGTGAAGGCTGAAATCGTTTTGTAGTAGTCCAGGATGAGTGCTCTGATCTCGATGTAGTTCGTGATCTGTCCAGCTCGCAGTTGGAGGTGTTGCTGCAGTGCTCCTTTGGTTTTGTTGAGTAGTATTGCTATTTTGATTCCATCTGGTAGTGCTGTTCCATTGTCTTTCTCGTAGCGGTTGATGTCGTATTCCCATTGTAGAAATTGTTCTTCAAACTGCGCTTCGTTGAATGTGGGTTCCAGTAGTTTGGTAAGGTAACCAACGCTCCTTGTTCCTACTGGTAGGCTGAACCTGTTGTGTAGTAGTCGTAGTGTTTCACATCCGTTTGCGTTGTAGCGGTTTTGCCTTACTACTGTAGCTGCTGCTCCCTGACAGATGTTGATGAGGATGTAGTGTAGATCTCTGGAGAGGTCTACTGCTTTGCTTGCTTGTGTAGGGTCGAGTATGTGTGTTCTGATGTCTGTGTCCTCAATCTGTCGTGTAGCCACTTGTGCTAGTTGTAGCACCAGGTCGAAGTCTCGGTCTATGAGGCCGAGGTATGCTTGTAGCTTGAACAGCCATTCTTCATACTGGGAGTAGTCACCAGTGAAGAAGGGTGGTGGCAGTTTGTATCTATGTAGTCTCTGAACGTCGTTGTCTTGTTCTGTTCCTGCTCCCGTAGTCGTGGCTCCTACTGTGTCTGCTGTTGGCCCGTTCTCTGCTCCTGTAGTTTGTTGTGCTGAGGCTGATGCTGCTTCTCCTGACATGTCGTAGTAGTTTGGCATGTAGCTGCTGTTGCTGTGGTTGTAGTACTTACTGCTTACTGGAGCTCCCCTATGTTTAGGATCTCAGCTCCGCTACCACGTTAAAATCGGTTGTTACTTTGCTTACAAGTGCAAGTGCTGTAGTGTTCAAACAAACAGTCAACCGATGTAGTCTGCAGCTGCCAACCTTTTGACTCATGCGGAGTAGTAAGCTCAAGGCCTGCGGTAGTGAACATACATGCAACAAGAGTGCAAAGGGAAGCATGTAGTTTGACATCTCTCTCTCTCTCTCTCTCTCTCGCGAATGGGCTAATAGGTTGAGACTCATTCACTGCAAAACTGCCAAGTCTTGGACCCTAGTGGTTGAGCTTTTTCCCTACAATCGCGGCCCACTCCTGCTTGAGGGGGGGGTACCTTGATGAGCTCCTGCGGCTGTTCTTTGCGACCCCTGCCTGGTGACGGCATGCACCTGGACATCGCACCTCAGCGAAACGGCCCTAACTGTCTGTTCACCATCTCACTACACGGAAGCAAAGTGGCCATGGGTCAAAATCCAAATCGTTTCGCAGGGAACATCCTAATTAATCCCCACTAAAATAGACTAAAATGGGTGGTGCACCTACTCCAAAATGGTACCATTGGTTTTGACCCACGGCCAAGTGTGAGTTTGGACAATGCTTCGGTAAAGCGTTGCTTAAAGAAAGCTTCAACCGAGATGCCTTTTCCTTTGCAAGACCCAAATCAAAGGCAGCGATCATCCAAGCTGTGAGGCACGAATCCGCTACACTTCCAGACTACGCGTGTAATTGTTCTTGTTCGGCTAGAAAAAGGTCCCCAGTTTTCACATGACCGCCGTCAAAATGCAATTGTTACCCGCATGTTCGGCAATGAGTAACTCAAACCGGATGTTGAGCGAATCTCATGAATCTGGGGCCCCGGCATCTGCAAAAGCTTCCAGGAGCAAGGTGAAAAAACGCGTGCCAAGTCGTCGGGTGAGTGCGATGCTTTGTGAGCTGCTGCTGTCTGATCTCGGACCGGCTGAGCTATGCGCTGAGCTGTGGGAGCTACCGGCGCACTGGCAGCTAATGCGAAGCAATTGCGGCGGTGGGCTTCCTCTTTTTGCTTCTCCCGCAAGGGATCTCGGAGGTCGCTTTTTCGCACCCCGTCACAGCTATCAAAAGATTCTGCCTAGTTTCGACTCCTCGCGAGAGGCAAGGCTCTGTCCCTCAGGGACTCAGGCACGTCTGGCTCGACGCAGGCCGCAGCCCTGGCCGCGTCGAAGGTCGACAAACCTTGCAGATCAATAGGAGGGCGTCCCCCCCCAAAGAAAACGGCTCCCATCTGAAATGGGACCCCGCTCATGCAGGCTTCAAATTCGTCCCCAGTTTCGGAATCCAACTGCCCGTGCGAATGGCACCTTCATGGCTCGATCCCTCGATCCCTTTTGGGAGATTCATGTTCTTTTTGCCTGCGAAGCGCCCAGCCCGTGATAGCCAGCATGACTCGAACGACTTTTGGCAGACTGCCACAGCCCTGAGGACATCTCTCAAAGCGTGGCGGTGGTACGAAGGCTCGCTGCCGCTGATTTGTTGGAATTTGTTCGGGCCTCAGACTGGAGCGTGGCCTTTCATGCCAGTAGGCAGCCTGGTAGCTTGTGTTGCTGGCAAACTGTTTTCTGTCTGGAGGCGTGCGCAAGCACTGGGCTAAGCAACCTGCGGCTTCGAAGAATCCGCTTCCCCATCAATGCTGCCACGAGATCCTGCAATCTGATATCTCACTCGAAGCCAGCCAGCTATCCAGTCACCACACAGCCAAAAAGAGTCTGGCCTGAACTCCTCTGTTGCTACAAAAGCAGGCTGCAAATGCTAACCCTCAACCCTCCAGCCATCGAGCTCGCGCCTGTGATGCTATCGAGCTCGTCGAAGGCCATCTGAACGATCCAGCCCATCAGGCTGAAGCCCCCAAACCCTCCCCGGTCCCCCCGCATCCAAACGCTGCACGCTAGCCATAGGATTCGCGTTCAATGAGCCAAAAGACAGAAACGCGAAAGGAATGGCGCATAGCGCCCGGCGCGCCTGGTGAGGTCTAAAGTCATGAACCACGACCGTGCCATCATTGTGCACCTGGCCGCTTCGGCTGATCGATATGCGATTGCTTGGACCCTTGCGAATGTCATGGGTCCCAAACAAAGTGGGACCAGCTTTAGACACAACGGGGTTAGTTCTTCGACTCCTTTACCAGACCAAAACTCATAGCTCCCACAGACGCCGCGGCCGAGCCTGCAAAGCCAACCTCGGCTGTTCCCAGTTCCGCCACTTGCCGAGCGGAACGAGGAAACCAAAAGCATGCAGCTTGCTCTCTGTGGTTTTGCTCCACAAGGAATGAAAAGGGGGTTCAGTGCTTTGGGTTTGGATTACAATGCGCTTCTTGAACAAGTCCAACCCGGAACGCGCAGCTCCAAACACCGAGCCCCACAAAAGAACCTAACTACCGGGCGACCTGTTGACACCAAGCTGCCACTCTTCGAACTTGGTGTGCTTCGCAGGGGGGAAAAACACCTTCTTCCTCAGAGAGCGAATGTGTGCAGAAGGCAGCGAATTCTAGGAGCAGCACCCCATCTGGCAGGCTGGTCAGATCGAGACCCGCAGAACTGGCGCTGAGGCCAAGGCTGAAGCGAGCTAGAACGGTACACACTCAGCGATTCCTCCAAGGCAGGAACTTGCTGCATGCGGTCGAGTGCGGATGTGCCCTGCCTGACCCGACTTGTGGAAAGAGCACATGTTCAGGAAATTCCTGGCACAGTTCAGCAGTCTGGATTCCCGTGCATTTGGCAAATCCAATGCCATATTGTGTACAGCAGCCACCAAATTTGCTCAGCAGAGTTCCCATGAACCTGCTAGAAGTCTCTCCCAAAAATGCCGTGCCTGTACGAGGCAAAGTACGTGTCAATGTCTGGAATGCTGAGCCTTGCCAGTCCGCTTTGCGCAAAGCGGCGGGGTTCCCTAGACTGTACATCTTTTTTGCATGAGTCTGCCAAGAGAAAGCTCAATCAACATTGGCAACTCAAAGGTGAAGCCTTGACACACAAGGGGACCTATGACATCACGGCCCCGTCCGATGGACCAACGCAGCAATGGGACCTCTGAGCTCCCGAGCGTCTTGATGGGTCGACAGTTCGGCCGCAGCTCTTTGTATAGAAAGCGCCTCGGGCGGCTCTGAGCCCATCACTCGTTTGATGTTCGCTTTGCGATTGGATATGTTTGGATTCCTTCTCAGTTTGCAGGGGGGTAACTATTCAGCTTGTCACCTTTGCAAGCAGAAAGGGGCCTGACCCATGCGTCGAATTCTCAAAACCAGTGAGTGGGGCTCCTTGAAGCAATGGGCCCCCCGGCTGCAAGGTGTCGCCGCTGAGTTGCGCCGCCGCAGCCGAGGCCTGTGGGTCTAAATGAATCAACGGCCTGAGATGGCCATGGGTCAAAATCCAAATCGTAATCGCAGTGAACATCCCCATCACTAAAATAGACAAAAATTGGTGGTGCACCTATCCCAAGATGGGATCCCATTGGTTTTGACCCACAGCCAGATGGGAACCAGACTTCAGAATCTTCCATTCAAGCCTCCAAGCGCAGAATAGAGAAGGGGCCCAGCCCAAGCAACTCATTGGCCGCAGAACCCTGCCCAGGTGCTTCCAAACTCCCCAACAGGTCCAAGCTTCAAGATGTCTGCAAAACTTGCCTAGTCAGTGACCTGAGGTAATGGGAGCAATGGGACCCCAAGCCATCAGACTGGGGCCCCCGCCAAGTCCAAGCCAGCCATGAGACCAGTCACGGCCGCCTCACTCGAGCCATGACCTAGTCGATCTACTCCCCTGCATATGGGCGTCCTTTTTGAGGGTACCCCTGTTTTTGTGGGTCTAAAGGGTAAACCAAAGGGACGACCACCATTTTGCGGGGGTCCCCTAAAAAAGGCACTCCCATAAGGTGACTCCATGTTTTGCGTGCTCCGGACAGAGTCGTTTTCCCAAAGGCACCCTTGAAAATTCCAACCCAAGAAGTTAGACAGCAGAAAGCTACTTGAACACTACTTCAATCAAACTTAAACCAGCCAGAAACAGTCCTTCAAACAAGAACATGGATAGATTGCAAGGGCATCAACATTTCCCCATAGCGACTTCCAGCCAAACGCCCCAGCCGAGGCATGCGCTCCAGCTGGGAGTATTCCACCTGTGTCTCACAAATCCGTTGCGAGCTTTGACTCGCAAACCAACGGAAGGATAAACCAAATCCAGTCAAAAGGATTTGCCTCTGAAGCTCATCAGTTCATCCCGTACTGTCAGGATGCTGCACATCCTTTGTCACTTGGCTGTGGCTCAAAAACATGTACCAAAATGGCACATTGGTAAATGGAACTGAAGACTAGAACCTGCGTAACCCTAGTTTTGTTTTTTATTGTGGGCCACGCCCACTTATTTCTTCCTTGCCTTGCGGAGCAAAGCGAGCTCCCGCCGGAAATCGCGAGCGCTGTACTGATGCCTGACACCCGTGGGCATGCATCCCTTGTTTTCAAGCTGAAGCCGATCTGCTACCCTCGGAGAAAAAAAAACCTTTTCAGCCCTCGGACATGTTCAACTCCGCCAACTCCGCCTCGCGTTGCTGCTGCGCCTCGGACTTCCTCAGACCTAGGCTCGCAGAGACCTCGTGGAAGCTGCCGCCCCCCCCAAAAGGAGCTGGGAGCACGACCCGTGCTGTCTGGGCCAGCCTCGTGCCAGAAAAAACTCCCCGATCCATGGCAAACCAGACCAAAAGGAGGCTGTCCAAGCAATAGATTCACTTGGTGCTTTTCAGGTTGAGACAAAACAAGGGCGTTCACAACGAGCCTCAAAGTCGGGGTGGAACCACAGCTTCAGGAAGCAAAGGTCCAAGCCTGATGGTCAGCTCACTCACAGCCATGCCCGGCGGTGTGGTCGACGTCTTAAACCCGAACCTCGAGTCCTTACGAGCTAACGACCCTTCCAGGTGGCAATGCGTGGTCGGGGGCCGGGAGGTGTCTGCTGCTCATGCAATCTGTGGGCCCTCCCAACGCTGAGAAAAAATGAGAGCTCTTGCTCGCGGCTCAAGCCAGGGGAAACGAGTCCCTGGCACTTGGCGGAGATGTTGTCGTTGATGACCACCAGGAAATCCTGAAACCAACACACAAAAACAAAGTACGAGGCAATTGTTCGCACGGACCCCTTCTCGGCTCGGCTCAAAATTTTGCTGCGGCGCCTGTGTCAGCACCAGGTCGAAGGGCTCCTCGAGTCGCTTGGCGAGTTTGGGGTGCGTGGAGGCTCGGCTGCGCTACAACAAATGCATCGGCTGTGTGGGTTTTGGAGGGTACGTGCGCGTCTTGCTGCAGAAGTCAAAACTTGTGGGGTCCATTTTGAGACGAACCCATCAAATGCAGTACAAAACGACAAATATAACGCCACTGGCGAACGCCACTTCGTAACAGCTCTTATTGCTCTGAGCAATTGAAAGGGACTCAAGGATGAACAAAGCCCCACAAGCGTCGGTTCAAGGGGATCGGTGGACACTTCGGGTGCAATTTGCAACCACCTTCTGCAGGCTACTGATCTTGGGCCCGCGAAAATAGACTAGACACACACCCCGCCATCAAGCCGAACCAGGCCTACCGGGCCGAGAGTTCCCCCGCAATCCAACAATAAGCTCATCAAGGGGCCCCAAAAGGTGCTGCCTAAGCCGGTCACAAAGGATAATATGCGCAGTTGTGTCAAAATTGGGCAAGCCCCCAGAATGGCAGTTTTCCCTTTGATCTCAAAAAAAGACACAAGCAACCCCGAAAATCCCGGCAGCCTCAAGGAAACAGCCACTCCCATGGAGACCAAAAAGAAAAAACAGCGCGCCAGGCATTCGGAGGGCTCTCCGGAAGCGCGCCTCGCAGCCGCAGTAGAAGCGGAAGATGGGCGCGAAGTCTTCCTTCGAGTCCCAGAAGGTCACCACCGACCTGGCGCGCGCGAGGCACACGTGGCCCAGCCGGCCCCGTTTTCAGCCTGGGCCCAAAAGACGAGACCAAAATAGCCTAAGGCCTATGGCTTGGGTAGCTGGTCCATTCTGACACATAACGTCCAACCTACTCAACCTGCCAACCACACGAAACAAATCGGCCAACAGTTGAAGCTTGAAAGCATCCTTTCCACTGGGACAAGAACAGCAAAACACCCGAAATGACACTCGCCCATTCTCTTGGGCGAGGCCCAAAGCATGATCCTTAAACCTCAAACTCACAAATGAAAAAACCTCGGAGGTACCTGTCCCCACGAGTTCTCCGCTCGGCGCCTGGAGTCCAAAGCGCAAAGGATGAAGTGATCCAGCGTGTAGACCTCCGATCCAACTGTGAGCGCCAGATATCTCGAAAAATGACGAGGCGCCTTGCAAGACACCAGATCCAACCGGTCCACGACCAAAAAAAAAACGACGACCCGTGCTTTAGAAATCAGTGAGCTAGTGAGCTGCTCTCAGACTCCAAGGACCTCGCGGATTGCCAAGTCACTCTCGCAACATCCACCTGCCCGAGGCATTCGTGCGTGTTTTTTCTTCTTCTTCTTTCTTTTTTTCTGATACTCAATCTCAGCTTCACAACAAAAAAAGAGGAGCGACGCGCAAAGGCGTGCCTGCACCAAAGGGCTCTCCGTCCTCAGGAAGGCCTTGCCCTTGCCATCCAAGGTCCAAACCTTGGGTCTCCCGGAGGCACCTACCGTCTTTCTGGACATCAGGTTGGAGGGGATCTTTTGTCAGGGTGCCCTTTTTTGGGAAACTAAAGGGAAACCAACCCTTTTGCGGCATTTTGGCGGGTTCCCGAGTTTGAGACCAAGCCAAGATTAAGTGGATACGTGATGGCGCCGGGCAAAGATGAGCGCATCCGTTCCCCTCAGAGCTTGGCATTCAGAGACTTCAAGCTGCCCCGGCCCTCGATGTGAAGCTCACATCCGATCCACAGACCGGCAAGCCACACGAGGCCACACGGGGGTACTCTTTGCAGACAAGGCGCCCAGGTCATGAGCAGGTCACCCATCCACTGGACCTAGGCCCAACTGCTTCTTTCAAGCCCCCCTTGAGCTGCACGGCGCGCCTCAAGTGTCTCTCGTAAACCTGGCAGGTGATGTGAGCTTCGATTGCGGGACCCTTTGACAGCATTTACCTGGAGATGTGTTTTTTGTCCACCAACCGCAGAAATTGTTGGGTGGGGAGGGTTCGGGAGCTGCTAAATCTTGAGGCCAGGTGCGAAATGTCTGCCGTGCTCGGGCTGGTGCAACTCAATGAGTGAGACATGGCAGGCGCACGGTGTGACTGAGATGCATGGGCGTCAGCACGGCCTGCGTCGGGTCGCGAAACCGGAATGCCTTTGGAACAAGAAAAGCAAAAGAAACAAAGCAACACAAAGGACATGTGAATCACAAGAAATACCTCAAAAGCTTTCTAAACCTGGAATTGGCAACAACCCTTTAGGAACACAAAACCGCATTTGACTTAGGTGGGCCTAAGTTGGATACCCTTTCTCTAATTGTCTTTTCTGGTATCCTGTGGTTTGGCTGACAAACAGGTTTGACTAGCCTTGGGCGGATATCATATTGGGATTTCTGCTTTCCAACCATATTGGCTGGTATGCCAGCCTATAAATTTCTAGTCGTGCTACCTCACGTGTGGATCCACCAACTTTTGCAGGGCCCAACTCCCTTCAACAGAATTCCCTTCAACAAAGGGTTGGGCCAATCCCTGCTTGAATATGTTGGAACCACTATTGGTTAGACAACCTCGCTTTTGATTTCTTCAAAGGGGGTCCGAATCGGGTCTGGTCAAGGGAAAGGGTCTGATCGATTCCACCAACCACTCAAATTCATTGCTTTCAACCAAATCCTTCTGAGTCTCCTTTCAAAAACGCCCCAGGGTCTGCTTGAAACCATCCCCCGCAAAAACAAAAAAAGTCAAAGGCCCGCGCCTTCCAAGGCGGCCGGGTCAACCTCGCCGAAGGCCGCACCCGTGTCGTCGTGCTGCGAGATGGCGTCACAATGTGATCGCTGGAGGGTGAACAAGCCACGCCGAAGCTTCTAGCCATGTGGCTTGTAGTCGTTGCTGTCAGCTCGAAGCAACCCCAAGGAAGAAGGAAGAGGAAAATGACAGCCAAGGGAACTGGGAAGACCAGGCCATGGGCAGTCCACGGTGGCAGGGATAGCAACTGAAACCACGCCAGGTTTGCTACCACGCGAGTCATGGAACTGTCATGGGGTGCATCTGAACATTGTTTCAGGTTGAAAGGACCAATCAAGTCACAAGTTTGTTTTGCCTGGGTTGATGTGGGTGGGAAAACCGGCGATTTGTAATTGGGATCCGCCTGCCCATGGCCCCATTTCTTGCAGTGACACCATCCAGATTGCGCAACCAGGCCTGGATGCAGCAAACGAATTCCAGGGTTTCTGTATGCCACAGGAGGCAGCAGTTGCTCTCAACGAGGATAAGTCGTTGCCTGCGCAAGCCATCCAAAAGTCGGGCAGAAACCGGAACGTCCCATATGTTTGCTCCATGGAATGCCCGTGGTTTCCATGTCAATGCCCGTGGTTTCCATGTCCTCAAGAACTTGGCCTTTGGAACTGCGGCTCTTTTCCCGACACCCACCCCAAAAACACACAAACAAACAAACAAACAAACAAACAAACAAAACAAACAAACAAACAAACAAACAAACAAACACACAAACACAAACACGCAAACAAACACACAAACAAACACACAAACAAAAACACAAAATGAATCTAAAAAAGGAGACAAGATCCATCTCTGCCTGTGCACCAGGAGCTCCAAGGGTCGCCCCACCTCACGAGCAAGCTTGCAAGCGAGCGGCTGGCTTGAACCCCCCTCTGGCTCTCCGAGACACCTGCCCTTGCCAAGGAGTTCGGTGGCCTGTCAGGGCCAAAAAGCTCACAGCGTGATGTTGACCCCGGATGGAAAAAAACCATGCTGATTCATTTTGGGGGATGTTCCCCTCCAAAAGTGGTCTGATTCCCCACTAAACCCAGAAATGGACACCCTATGACTAAACCGGGGTTGATTTATGGGGGGTCAACATTACCAAGTGGTTTTTCTTGTTTTTCCCCGTAGGCCTGGCAGGAGGCAAGACAATCGGCTTCTTCAAGCTGTCGTACTCCCAGACCTCCGAGCCAAGTCATCTTCTCTCGCAGAAAAAGAAGATCAGCCTTGATGCAGTCGTTCAAACAAACGAAGAGTTTCTTCTTGACGTTGGCCAAGCGGTGAAAGCAACCTCGGCTCAGCAGCTGCCAAAGAACAAACGTAACGGGAGCACCAGCACCAGCCGGCCATGCGGACCTCGCAGCCGAGCTGCGGCGAAAGCTTTGTCCGGTGTCAATCTCTCGCAAGACCTGCGGAGATGCCGGCCGCAGGACCCGCCGATGTTCGCTTTTTGTGGCCCGTGGGCCCCCACGCCCTCACGCCCCCACGCCCCCACGCCGCCACGCCCCCACTCCCCCACGCCCCCCACGCCCCCCACGCCCCCCCACGCCCCCACGCCCCAACGCCCCACGCCCTCACGCCCCCACGCCCCCACGCCGCCACGCCGCCACGCCCCCACGCCCCCACGCCCCACGCCCCCACGCTCCGGCCTTCCCGTCACAGGCCTGAACCACTTGCACTATGCGCCCGTTCTCCCAAAAGAAAACATTGCCTCAGGATTCAGGATTCAGGAACTGACATGGGCTCCCGTGAGCAGCATTTCTCGGATCCCGGCAATTGTCAGCTAATTCCAGGCCTGAGACATACCATCAAACACATCTGAAAGGACACATCAAACACAGGCAACCAGCTGTGTGCTCTCTGGTTGGTCTGGTGCAAGAACCGGTCACTTCCCACATGCATCCACAAAATCTCATGGAGCATGCCTGGTGAACATTGCCTGCGGGCCCGTGAAAAATACGCCAGCAACAGCGAGCATGCAACTGAGTTGCAAAGCAGCACGCGATTTGGAACATGTAGTTGATGGGCACTTTCTGCCCATGCAAATGATGTCCGAAGGGAAATTCATTGCCAAATGAGAACCCAGAACCCAGACAAGGCCCTGGCTGCCCCTGTACCTTCTGCGTCTTGCCCTGCACATCGCCATGAGCTGGGGGTCCAAAAAGGGGTTTAAACTGACGGGGCCCTGGTAGGTCAAGAATTTGTTGACTCGTTGCGACAGCCCATTGGCGAATGACTCAGCTGCGCAAGCCGCCTGCCTGCGAGTGCCCTCCTGAGATCCTGGCAGCAAAAAGAAGCAAGCGAAACAAGCCTCGCATGGGCCTGCTTTCTTTCTTGAAAAGGTCCCATCCTGTTGGTTTGTTTCTGTTTGTCTAAGGACTTCTGAGACCTTCCAGCCCTATTCTTTTGGCCAACCGATGCTAAGGTCAGTGCCAGAAGACTCCTGCACAGGTGTGAGGACAAGATCATGGATTGCAACACAAGGCTTTGTCCAACCATGCATTGTTGACAGAAGACAAAGCTTATGTCTTGCACCACGGTTTACTTCGAATCATATACATAAACAAATGCTCATGTGCAGGCTAGAGGTAGGTGTGCCCGAAAACAAAGGCTGATGGCTCAAGGCAACCTCAAACTGGCAGCTCGCTCGCTTTACAAGCACAGTAACACGTAAGGCTCAGGGTGCAGAGTCCTTTTTCGGCCGAAATCGATGCAAAGCACCCCCCGAACCCCCGAGCCCTGCTGGTTCGCTCCGGGCTCAGGCGGCTCGGGCGCTCTCACAGCCCCCAAACCTCGGCGGCGCAAAATCGTTTGGCATGCTCCCTGTGGCTTTTGCTCTCGAGGCGCCATGCTCATCGCCTCGTGCAGCTTTGTCTCGCCCATGGTGGCGAGATATCCCAGGTACTTGGCCAGCCTCGGATCTCTCGGGCTCTCCGCGAGCTTAGTGAGAGCCATTGCAGGCGAGCTGCGTGCGCTCCGACACGGTTATCCTCATGGCCTGGCGGTGGACGTACACCCGAAAACATGAAGTCAACAAAGTCACAAAGTCGCAAAGTCAACCAGAGGGGAAAAGGTTCAAACCAGTTCATCCCCCACGAAGCTGCCTCCGTGGCCCCTTCAAAGTCATGCGCCCAGAGGGTGCGCACAAGCCAGATGGTGAGAGCTTGCCTCGCGAGTCGCAAAACCGTGAAAAGCAAAGTCCGCTCTTTTCGGCAAAAAAAACAAAAAGAAGCGCGTTGACCCGAGCGAGCGGCTGCAGGGCGATGTCTCCAATAAAACGAATGGAGAGAAGCACCACCTGTACCAGGGCCTCAAGTTGGCATGGGCCAAAGCGGAAGCTAACAACCGACTCAGCTGATCATTTTTCGAGAGGCATCGTCGATGGTGTTCTCGTCATCCCTGGATTCAAGAAAGCGACAAACGGGTAAATGACAGTTGCTGGATTTTCTTGTGGCGCCCATTGGGTGTCCAATCTCAAAAAAGGTCTCGCAAAGCCACACAAATGTCCTCCATCTGACTAGACATCAGACACCCTCCAGAATTTGGCCTTCTCCTTGCCCTCTCGGCTTTGTCTTTTCTCACTTACATGACGACTCAATTCGATCCAAGGCGCTTGTGCTCCAGCTGGTACTGCAGACTCTCCGCGTGCTCCACGTTCACGTCGTAGTCGAAGAGCAGCTCCCGGCCCATGCAGACGTCCACCAAACCTTTCCCGTAGGGCGTGACGCACAGCTCCTCAAAACCCCCCGCGTTTCGAAGGCAAACCCCAAAACGGCAGGCGCCTAGGTACCTGGGAAGGGGATGAAGACATGCAAAAGAGGAGACGTAGAAAGCGCGCAAGACACGGGTGTCCATGTTGGCAAAGTTCGGTGGCAAAAAAGAAAATCCAAATGCACACAAGCCATGCGCTTTCAACTGGAACGAGCATGCTGAGTGCGTTGGGATGGCCACAAGGCTCCTCGCCCGACTGCATATCCATTTCATCAAACGGGGAAAAGTCATTCAGTTCATCCGTGACCTGGTCTAGCTCCTCGGGTGCAGCAAAAAGACAGCAAATGAGAGCGTTGCGACATAAACTACCTCAAATCTCCCACCAGCTTTGCGGTCGAAAGAATACAAGATGACACTTCAAACATTGGGCGGATCGTCACTCGCTCCACAAGAATCAAGCCAGATTTCTTTCCAAGCCACATCCCTGTGCTGTTTCAGGCCATTCATGCACTCCTCGCAGGCGCGCTCTGTCTCAAAGCATCAGCTAGCATTCAGTGTTAGCACTGGCCGCGTCTGCCGTCGCCTCGTTGAATTTGAAGTCACCACTCAAGCGACTCCAATCCAGTCTCAACAAGGTCTTGCGGTCGGTGTCATCAATGTGCAATTTCCTCTGTGGCAAGAGCCAGTCACAGAATCTTGCGCATTTCTCCAACCTCAGCTGCTTGCGGAAGAAAAACTACTGCGATCAGCGATTGGCGAGTGGCGCGATCGGCACACCTCATGCGCCAAAATGGGGCAAGACACCAGGCGCAGATGGCATGCAAGCATCTACAATCCTCCTCTTCTTCGGTACTGCTTCCATCATCCACCTGCTGCATTTCCAGCTTTCCAGACAGGAGGCCGCTCGCTTCGTGCCTCACAAGATCCGCACCGCAAAAAAATCACCACCCTGCCAAGGTCGCAGGAGTTGTGGTCAAGTCACTGCTCCACCGCCTGCTTCTCCAAGCCGGCCAACCTCTCGTGCCTGCAGGTGCCCAAGCCTGGCCAGGCGTGCCCTTGAAGCCAATGAACCATGGCAAACAGGAAATCTCTCATGGCCCTGATGCTCCAATGAAAGTCCTTGCCTCGAAAAATGCTCCTTGGAGAAGCCCGCGTGAAAACGCCAAAGAGCACGGCGATAAGCGGAGGTATGAAGAGCCTGGTGATTGTGTCATGTGTGGTTGTTTCATGAAAATGTATAAAAGCATGTAGAGGTTCCAACTTGCATAGGCCATCTCATGCATAGGCCATCTCATGCCCAGTGAAAGGAAGCAACCAACCAAACAATCCAAACAAGCACAAATCAACTAAGCAACCAGCAACCAACCAACGAATCAACAAATCAAGGAATCAATCAAACAAACAAACAAACAATCAATCAATCAATCAATCCATCAATCAACCAACCAATGAAGCAATCAAGCAAGTAATCAATGGATCGATCGATCAAATCAATCCAACCAGATAAAATCCAATCACATCATTTCGATCAACACAAACCAAATCAAAATAACTTCAATCAGCCAATCAATCAAGCAACCAAACCGAATCAAAACAAAACAAAAAAAATGCCAAGTCAAATCAAGTCAATCAACCAATCGAATCAACGAATCAACTCATCAAATCAATCAATCAATCAATCAATCAATCAATCAATCAATCAATCAATCAATCAATCAATCAATCAATCAATCAATCAATCAATCAATCAATCAACAATCAATCAGCCAACCAACCAACCAACCAACCAACCGACCAACCGACCAACCTGCCAGCGACCCAGGGTTGTTTGATTGATTGGTTTGTCGCTGTTCATTGGTTCGGTTGACTTGGTTTGAATTGACTTGGATTGATGTGATTGCTTGACCGTTTGACTGTTTGGTAGACTTTTTAGATGAGTATTAGACTGATCAGTTGAGCGACTTGGATGTGAGTTCTGTATTGATTGACCGACTGACTGGCTGACTGGCTGACTGGCTGACTGGCTGACTGGCTGGCTGGCCATCAACCAATAATGACAAACAACACACACAACCAAACAGGATACCGCAAAATGCGAACACGTGCCAATGCCAAGCGTCAACAACCGCACATACATGCTTTGAGTGGCGAAAGCAGCAAGGCGATGAGAAGCTCAAGACAAAATGAAGGCACATAGATGGTGAAACGAATATGAGGCTATGCAGGTGCTTGCCTGTTGCAAACAGTGCTTAAAGCAGACGTGGCACCGCGCGTACATCTGCACGAAGAAGAGGTAGACGAAGGGCCAGGTTCGCTCCCAGCATTCCTCGACACCTGCCGAACAGACAAGCTGCAACATGTGCTCAAGAGGCTGTTCCAAGCCTCTGATGTGCCCAAAGCTGACAATGAAGAGGATGCCAGCAACTACAAGAAGCACATGCAGCTTGATGCATTTATACAGGCCTCGGAGGAAGGTGCACTTGGACACTCGGGTTCCGGATAGATGCACCCACACGACATATCGCGATATGTTCATCCAAGGTGCACATGCACTTTGTGAAGATAATGGCCCAAAGTCCAAGCAGCATGATCGTCGAGTAGTAGAGCAACAAATATGGAAGCACGTATGGAACCAGAAGAATAGCGTAAATCTGCTTGGGAAACTGCAACCAGCGAGCCCCACCGAGGAAGAAGGGGAAGCCTATCTTAAAAAAGCCAAAGAGGTGACCTGCAGAAAAGTAACGCTCCCGCTCGATGTCCTTCGCAAAGATAACTCGTGGAGATTGGATTTCAAAGGACCCCCACAAGCCCAGTGCGGCCGAGAAGTTGTGGGAAGTGCACCAAACTGCCAGAAGCAGCAGTGAACTCTGCCAAAAGCTCGGGTGATACACCCTGGACCGCTGAAAAGTTTGGATGTCTCTGACGTATGAGTTCAGAGCCAGGCAAATGAACGCCAGCTTTGCCACATAGCTCACGAAGAACCCTGCAACCTTCTTTGCAGCGGAACCTGTCTTGATCTTGGTCTTGAAATCGAAGCCGAAGACGGAAAACGTCAGCAGCTGCTTCAAGCCATTGGTCAAAGGCAAGAGGTAGATGGGCTGCATCTCATGCGGCCGTAAGATGTCCGCGAAAGGGCCATTGCCCACCTCGTACTCATCCTCCTCCTGGTCACGGAAACGCGAAAGCAACGGCGCGTGCACTGCAAATACCCCGCCACGCCCCATAGCAACTCTTGACACGCCAAACCTTGACCCATGCCTGCAGGAATCGCGTCTCGGACGGCTCAACCTGACCGAGCGCTCCGAGGTCTACGAAAGGCCCACACTCCCAAGTGTAGGCGGACAGGACCAGCACCAGACAGGCGCATTGCAAGGCCGGCAGCCACTTTGGCACGACCATGTCATGCGCTGCCCGTTTGCTCCAAACGCCTTCGATCTATTGCCTCACGACACGCGCAAGATGTGTTTAAAAGATGACTAACCAGTTTGTCTCTGCGTCTCTGCTCCATGTCTGTTTGTGTTGCTTGAGCAACAGCGCCAAGGCAGCATGGGCAAGACAGGACGAGGGGATTCCGGGTGCGAGCGAACCGGCATGCTCTTCGAGTCCGTGCCTCGCCGAGCCAGGCACAGGGCCTGAGCCTTAGCAAGCTGCTGTGCTCATGAGAAAGAAAAACACGACAGAAATCGATGTCAGCCACTGCGTGTCCGCTCAGCCCGGCACAATCCGGGCATTGTGCGTTGAGTAGCCTTTTGTTGGTCCACGTTGTTGTGCACCTTGGCAATCCCAGCAAGTAGCTCACCCCATGATTTGGAAGAAGGCAAATACCAAGTGGTGGTATGCACAAAGGTGTTGTCAAATACCCTTCCCGCAAAACCAATCCAAGTCATGCATGACTGCATGCCGGCAATATGCCCTTTGTGTCTATGCCAGGCCCGCACCTGCCGGATGTACATAAAGAGCCGTCGCCATCTGCATTCATCGAGTACCTGCCAACTAGGAATGTGCCAAAATAGGAAAACCCAAAAAATATGTAGCGGTTGTCCTTCTGGTGTCACTTTAACCCAACCTCACAAATGGTCACAAACAAACAACGACAACCAATCTGGTGTCCAAAATCGTAGGCAGGTGTTTGCCAATGAACCCTGATGCAGCAACTGGCGTTGGCCATGTCGTTTGAAGACCCCAGCATCGCAGCATCCAGTGCGAACCGCCGCCTCCACAGAACGCATGTAGTCGTCATAATACACTCCAAAGAATTGGAGCACAAACCAGCGCCTCAGGCTCTCATTCACTGCACTCTCTCGCAACACAGTTTGGCAAACAGCTGGTCGTCAAAGTGCTGTTCGAGTCGCTACAAATTGCGCACATTGAAAAGAAAACTGAGGGCAAAGCCAGTGCTCATGCGATGAGGCTATCCTGAACGCACATGCAAAGCACACAGAAAGCCAAGCCACCAACACTGTCAACGCTTGATCAGCAGACTCGGCCTTCGGAAGAGGCAATCGAATGAGCAAGCCGTGGACAGTGATGTCACATCCAGAAAAGACCTCCAAAGGGCACCAGCTCACGTGCATTGGTAGAGGAAATCGTTGCGGCCCAACCAAGCGGTTCGTTTCGCCCCCTGAATCACATCGCCCTCACTTCGAACAGATGGCCGCGAAGCACACGTTCCGCGAGTGAGTGCCCGGCAGAACCAGTGACAGCATGTCTGCACGAAGCTCGGAGATAGACTCCGTGGGCCTGGCGAACTGACACTAGCATGCCTGCCCTCATTTAGACCTGACTTGACTTGGCTCGCAGGGACACACGCCCAAGTGAACATTCCCCTCACTGACCGACCCAAGCCTCAGCTGCCCCTCCATTGCTAAAACTCATGTTGCGCGCCGTGAATTGTGCAGTGGCGTGGCTGCCCGTGTGCAAATGGGGACGTGTCCTTCACAACTAGAGCAGATATTTTGCTCATGCAAAATCCGTTTGGAGACGATGCAACATGTTGTCCAAGCCGCACACGATAGGGGGACCCCCATAAAACACAAACTGCCGCAACAGGATGGGCACACAGGCCGACTTTCAAGCCACGTTCTGCCAGACGAAGATCCGCGGCTTGGGCCATGAAGAACAGCCAAACAAACGTTCCTGGCTACATACATTGGGTCAATGTGACGAGTGACGTTCCATCCAAATTGGCAACTGTTGAACAAACACACAAAAGCAGGCTCTTGTTCAAACCTAGCGAGCAATTGCACCACCAGAGCAATCCCTGCGTTGGCATCAAAACTGTGGTCGAATCAATGCCATTTGAAACAAAATGGTTGGGAGTCTAACTTGTTCCTCCTCATCGCGAAAAAGCTCACCAAACAAGAATTGTGCGACATTGGCAGAGCAACGCTGACAAATCGAGAAGATGTGTATATTAATTAGCAACTCATGCTGACTCACGTAGCCACGATATAAGGCAGGCGTAGCCATCGCAATAGCACTCCCACCCTTGGCTTCCAAACAAAGCGACGGGCAGCGACGGGAGTCAACATGTCCAGCTTCCAGCTGGAAGAAAGTGATTTGACACCAATACTCTCAGTGAAAAAACAGTCCCCTTCGAAGAGCGACGAAATCTGTCCGAGTGCCTGCTGTAGGATGCATGGTGGGGTGAAGAGTCTGGCAACTTGTTGCCATCAAAAGTGTGCCCTCTTCGATACAATGTCGGTGAATATCGGTGGGCTTCCGCTGAAAGCATGAAAAGTGAGCTTGAGCGACATCTGATTGTATGTTTGGCTCCTAGCTTCGCTAAGTTCTCCGACCAGACTTTACCTGAAAGAGTGGGCAGAGGGCAACTCTTGAGTCCAGCCCTGCGCTCAGCGACAGCTACCAGCTCAAAGTCCGGTCTACCAACACCTCATCCATCACAAGGTGAATAGATTCAGAAAAAGAGAAAGAAATGCTCACTCAGAAAAAAAGCCTACGGGCAAAAACGCGGCTTCCAAAGCCCTCGCCCTGGACGACGCCAACCAGAAGGATCTGGAACTCCAAACCTGCTCAAGTCCACAAGAGTCTCAGTCACATGATCCAGAAACGGCTCCCAAAAAAGGAAAAGCTGGTGAGAGAGAGAGAGAGAGAGAGAGAGAGAGAGAGAGAGAGAGAGAGAGAGAGAGAGAGAGAGAGAGAGAAGCGGAGACTGCAACAAAAGCTCCTGGGGCATTTGGGGGAGGGGACAGCAAGTCCCAACAGGTGGCCGTGAGGGGCTCAAGTCGAAGAGGTTGTGTCGCGGAATTGGACCTGGCCGGCTCTGCAGGTTGTGTTTTTCTGGCACCCACGAGGCAAAGAAGAGCTGGCCCCAGGTTGGATGCCCACCCTTCCACGTTTCGAGCTTTGCTTCGCCATTTTTGGCAGTTGGCAGAAATCCTGGCAGCAAGAGCGCAAGGGTCCGCCAACTGAAACAAGGCTGATCCGCGACAAACACAAAACAGGGACAGAAGCGAAAGGAACAGACCCCGGATGACCAGATCGAGCAGAAAACGCCAGAGAGGCACTGTGAATTGCCAGCAGCACTTTTGCACTTGTCAATGCAAAGAAGCGATTGAGGCCAGAACCAGATGGCCGCCGCTCGTCGACTTCCGCCGGCCAGAGTGCTTCCCCAGCCTTCAAAGGAATGGACTTGCTCAAGCAGGCAATCGCCCCTCCGAAGGGGTTGGCTGAGAGGGCAAGAGATGACTAGGAGCGCTGTGTGTTCCAGTTGAGTACTCAGATAGAAAGCTTTGCACTGATGGACGAGCAGCTTCCCAAGCACTTGGACGAAGCTCGGCGGTCTGCAACGACGCTGAGCACTGAGAGTTGCACTGCTGAGTACAGGCGCTGTCAGTCAAGTTGTTTGGAATGCTCACATCCTGGGCGCAGGATGCTCCGAGTGCGGTGAAGATCGCCTGGAATGTCACAAATCAAATTGGTTTTGAGTTATGCAGGTTGCTTTGGAGAGACTACCTCCCAGGGCAAAAAAGCAAGGCTCTCATGTGGAGAAGGGCCCTGTTGAATCCTAAATTCCCAACACAAGAGATTGAGCTTAGCGCCGGGCGCCCTCCAGAAATGGGGGTCGGCGACGTAGATAAGTATGCAGTCGAGTATGGTGCGGACAGGGATAACAAGGCCTTGCTTGTGCCGGAATGTCCTCCATCCTTGCGGCAACGCCTGCAGGCGAAGGGCGCCTCCGCGCGAAGGCCAGGAGCGGGATCGGACAGGCGACTCCATGTCTGATGTTGCGCCTTTATTGTATGCGTCCTGTGCGCAGAACATACAGCAACATATATATATATATATATTATATATATACATATCCACAAATTTGTGTTGTGTGTGTATCCACAAATATGTGTTTGATAAACGGTCGATGCCCAACGCCATTCCGAGCAACGATAAGACTGGCACAGAAACAGCAATCAGGGCAGACGCAGAATCAACGATAAAAAGACACAGCGAGCCACAGAGAGAGACAACCAAAGACTAAGGCAGGGGAAGAAAAAAAAAAAAAGGACGGAGGCGAAAAGAACAATGTGGCTCATTCACAAGGATGCGTCGCGGGAATTGGGAACAGGATCATTGCCCCAATGGCAATCTTGCGGATGGGGAGCTGCCAGGCTCAGGGCGTGCTGCTTGACATCTGAGACCATCAATTCTCGGCCGGTCAAGCGCGCTTCCGAGCTTGAGGATGTGACGCCCCTCATCACAAATGTGCCTGACCACTGATCGTTGGCTTGGGTCGGCCATTTGAGAGGCGGATGGCCCAGCAGAGGTGACTGCCGAGGCATCCTCGGAACGGGCGGAGACGGCGTTTTGCATTGAACCAACACTCTTGTATAGAGTGGGCATTTTTTATTTTTGCTTTTCGTCCCTCATCTTTCCTGCTCTAATCCTTCCCTTTTCCTTTCCTAGGTTTCTCATCCACCTTACCTATGTCCATTGCATCCGAGTCTAGAAGCCGTAGCTCATAGGCCTATGGCCTTGTCGGGATTGGCCCCCCAAAACAAAAAAATCATAGGCATAGTATTGGTTCTGGGGATGGCTGGTTGCTTTGTTTATGTTTGTTCACATTGTTTTATATTTTCACCTAACATATCTAGATAATTGTTTGGTGTATTTGTTTTACTATTTGTTCCGAAGATATAGACAAAAACATAACGATAAAATAAGTCAATACAATACAGAATACTACAAAGAACATAAACCTGAATTGTTAATCAAATCAAAGCAAAAAGGGGAAAGATAATATGTAGATTGTGTTGTTCATTGTAATGATATAATAAAGAAATATGCTGTGGGCAGACGTTAAAAGTGTAATAAAACTTGCGCTGAGCAAACATAATATATAAAACTTACGCAGCGCAATAACTATCTATCATAATATGATTGATAAAACGACAACCTTAACAAAGCTTTTATTTTGTAGAGCTAGTCATCTGCTGTAATAATGTGTCTTCTTCTTTTTATTTTGTTTGTTGCATTTTTTTGGGGGGGATATTGAAATGAAGAGGTTGTAAATTACTCATTGTATCCTAGATATAAATATATATATATATATATCAAATTCTGAGTTTAAAAAGAAAAAAGAAAAGAAAAACGAATAAGGCCAAATTAATTACCTCATTGACAAACAGTAAATAATGAATAAGGTTGCCAGTAGGTGCCTTATTGAAAATCAAAAAAATGAAGGAGAAAAAAAACTGAACAACTAATAAAACGAATACACCGAACAACTTGAAAATATGAAAAAATGCGGGAAACTTTAAAACAAAGCAACCAGCGATCCCCAGAACCAATACTATACCTATGCTTCTTCTTCTTCTTCTTCTTCTTTTTTGGGGGGGGTTGGGTTTGGTTGGGTTTTTGGTTGGGCTTTAATTGCTTTTATGGGGGTTTGGTTTGGTGTGAACTGGGTTTGATGGGGTGGGGCTGGGTCCTCCAACGGCCTAACACTCAAAACATGTGTTCATTTCGGTAGCGGTCCGTTGCGTCCAGGGGGGGGTTCGGGGAATCTGTCCTTCGGCATGGTTTGGATGTCCCATTTGGGCACAAGGTGGACAAGCAAGTCCAAGCAAGTCCGGGTCCACAAGCAAGTCGCGGGAAACGAAAGCTGTGCTCACAGAAATCCACCCCCGTCTGCCAGAACTACAAATTCCTCGCAACCTGTGTAGGTCACTCAAAATCTGAACCAGCCACCCCGTGGACTGAAGCACCTCCCTTTGACATACGGACTCTTGGTTCTCAGCAAGGTTGCAATAACATTGCAATCAAACACACACCCAAGCGCAACTTTTCCCCATCCTCAAACAACTGATCGCCTCACGACCCCATAACGCGCTAGCGCGGCTCAGCTGCAAAGGCCTCCGATGAGATGGCGGCAACTCGCCTGCACGGATCTGCACGGATATGTCAATTGGGTGATTACATTTGGGTGTGTCGAAATAAGGGGGCCCTAAAACCGATGCTTTTCGTTTTGGCTTCCCTTTGAACCGACCTGAAAATGGTTGACTTAAAAGACAAGCAAAGGACCCAAGGGGAAATCCCCGCAAAAGTCCGAGTGCTGGAACTTGGGGAATGAGCACTTTGGTTGACTTTAAAGACAACCCCCCAAATCAAGAAGAGAAAGATCCCAACAAAGGAAGCCACCCGGGCCTCAGCTCCAGCTCCGCGGCAGCCTGGTTTTCCGCCGGGGCCTCGATCCCCGAAACAGCGATGCGTTGGGGGAGAGGAGCAAAAAAAAAAGCGACTTATGCCTTGCGTGCTGCTTCTGGACTTGTTCATGGCATCTTAAACGACTCTTGGACACTTTACAAGTTTTGTCTTTTGGTTGGCTTCTTATGATGAATTGAAAGCCCGAAAAGGAAAAGGGGGGGAGATAGAGCTCCAATTCAAGTTAGTAATGGAAACAGGATCCAACCCATTTTGAGGCCCCTTCACGCATCACCGATTCGTAGGTAACCATCCATGGGGTCCATGGGGTCCATGGGGTCCATGGGGCATTTCCCTATGCCCAAGAAGAGAAGAACGCTGTAAGATCCGGGCCATTGGCAACTGGGGTGGAAGTCAACTTCTGGCAGCTGGTGTCTTCATTTGTTTGGCGGGGAAAGTTCGGCGTCCCTTCGTTTGGGGGGTGGCTGGGACCCTTTTTGGCGGGTCAAGGAACAACATTTGTGGCTGCCATTTGACGACAGCCCGCTTTTTGTCGCAAGGTGCATGCGTTGAGCCGACTGGCCTATGAGGCTGTTTGGGTCAGAACGAAGGCTTTCGGTAGACCAACAGTTGGCTTCAAGGGGTATCGATGCTTCTTGGAAAACTGCTGGCTTTTTCAGGGCATACCAGGGGTGATTTAGAACATGTCCTCGTGAAGCAGGTGGTTGGCCCACGTCCAATCTGAGGATCGGAACAGCTGGTGCAAGGGAAAGGAGGACTGCAGGGAGCTAGGGAGGACAGGCAAACCACGAAGACACAGTCCACCGTTGCCGCCAGCATGCCAAGACACAATGCTGAAAGTGTTCAGAGGTTCACCATGTTGAGATCCCCGGCAGGCCCCGGAGCTTCATTCCCATGTGGCAAGGATGTGCCTTCTTTTACCCGTTTTCCGGGGCAGTTTCTGAGCAAAGCTGTCGGGCCAGCACACGACGCGGCGAACTAAAACATATTGACCCCGCATGAGTAAACCCGTAGGGGGGGTTGTTCCCTCCAAACGAGGTATTTCTCAATCAAAATCAACGATGTAACGAGGGGTTCTACTTACATCCGGGGTCCACATGATGTACCCGGTGAAACGAACACGAATCGCTCACGCGTGGCTTTTGCGAGGGCCCCGGCATTTGCCTCTCGTGTAGGCCGCCACGACGAGCACGCTGGGGCCCAAAGCAAAAGCCAGGCACGCGAGCCAAAGGCTGGGCGCGAATCTGAAGCACGCCGCCTGATACTCGAACATCAGCCCCCCCGTCACGACCAAGATCGCCGCACCGAGCAAGGATTTCGAAACATCCAGGCACTGGCGGCGGCACGGGTGGCGCAGCGCGAATCCCACCCCAGAAATGCATGCGAAAGCCAAGGGGCCTAAGATCAGCCACCAAGTCAACATGCGGGCTAAGACTACCAGCGCGTAGACATACTCCCGCTGGAAGATCCATCCGGAAATGGCTCCGATAGTTGTCCAAAGCGTGGTGATGGCCACGCCATAGATCCAATGCAGTGGCAAGGCGAATCTCCCGAGTGCTTCGGTCAGAGCACAGGACACGTTGCCGCGCACCGACTCTTCAAAGGCCTCCAAGGAGCCAAACCATTCGAGCACGCAGCGCCGGATGACTTCCCGATCGCAGAGCAGGGGAGATCCATCCGGCTCCACATGGTTCACAGTGCAGCAGTAGCACTTGGTCTTCTCGAACTGGAAACTCGCAAGCTGCGCCTTCATTTTGTCCACCGAAAAATAGTAGCCGCGCGTCACTTTGGCTGCACTGGTAAAAATGAAGAGAAAGGATGCCCAAAATAGTGCTGGCCCCAAACCCAGGGTTCCAAAATCAACGAAGATGGACAAGCCGTTCACAGCAGCCATGCAAACAATGCCCGTGAGCGCGATCTGCGCCATGCAAGTGGGTCGGACCACCAAGCGTTGTGCCGGATTGTCCTTCTGACACTTCAGGAATGCTGCCAATTCGAAGACACACCAAAGACCTTGGACAAACTATAAGAAATGAGTCAAAACGAGGCAACACAACCAAAAGGCCGGTGTCATGTTCCGCTTAAAAGCAATTGCCGGCGCTTTCACTGCCATGCGCCAGACCAGTGCAAATGAAGCGCTTCAAAAACCACACCTGGACCTATTTATTTATTGCTGGAATTGCCCGGGCCGAATCAACTTGTTGCAACTCGGGAGCGACCAACACCTGCGCCTCAGCATAACTCAAAACAACCTGTGAAAAGGCAGGAAGTTTGAGCTGAGCCTCGCTCCACATAAGTGGCATCCCAAAGGACCAGCATCTGCTTGGAGTTCTTCAAGAAGGCACCCATGCATAGGACCCCGAGCGCCTTCTGCTCTGGGTCACTCTGGTGGATGCAGAGCCGGTCCACGAAAATCGAACTACGGGGCCTCCAGAGCAGCCAGACGCCCACGCAGATTGGGAACGCGCAAAACAGGCCCCAGGGAGAGTAGACGAAGGTTTCGCCCTCTTCCCCCCAGGTCAGGGGCTTCTCAGGGCCGGGCAAGAAGCCCAGGCTGGAGAACGCAAACATCAGCGCTGCGAGCAGTGAGGAGATCAGCAAAGCAGGGAGACCGTTGTAGAAGAGCAGCAGCACCAGGACTTTGTTCCAAGCGCTGCCATGCCAGGAGTGGCTCCAAAATGTGTCAATCTTCTCAACTGGATGGCTGAGCTCAAAGCCATGGATGTTTTCGGAGTACAGGAGTTGCCCGAAGCACTGCAAGGCACACCAAGGGGAGGTGGCTCTTAACAGCTCCGGGCTCGCCACTCGAAAAGTTGAGATCCAATCCGCGACCCGAGTCGTCATGCTCCGCCGCCACTCCGCCCGCTCATCGCCTTGGTCGTCTTCGAAGGAATGTTGACACGGCGACTCGGGCGGTATGCGTGCAGGTGAAACGGCATCCATTGGCCTTGAGCCATCTAGTGGCGCCACGCACAAAAGATCAGCTGATTGAAAACGAAGTCTCGGTTGCTTTCTGCTCCCCTGCTAAAAGTTTAACTTTTAGTGGTTGAATGGAAAACCCACTAGTTGGCAAAAAGTTCAAGTCCTAAAATCCAATCAAAATGCACCAAAGAAGACGTCCGCATCTCATGTCAGACCTGGGCCCCCGGCAGTCCAGGATGCCTGGCTGAAGGAGCTCGAACAAGGGAACAGAGGACCGACCTCGGAAACGGCGGTGAGCGCCTTCCGAGCGCGTCACGGCCTGGGTCCACAAGCCCACTGCCTCCTGTCTCGACTGTGAGACCAAAAGAGCGCAGGCCTCGGCTGAATCTTCCGTTTTCGACACCCAAAACAAAGGCTGCCACAAACAGATCCGCGGGCGCTTCCCAGATGGTGCATCGGGCTTTCTTTTGATTGTATCGGCGTCCACAGAAGGGTTCCAAAAGCAGATCAGCTCCGAGTCCCGCCTCAGTTCTCACCAAGCAGAGTGCACTGCGCAGGCCCCGGCGCACTGCCTGGCAATCGGGACGTGTGCCGAATCCCTTGGCTCTCGCGAGAGGTCTGAGCTCTTCGGCCTTCCCTTTTGTTCTTGGTTTGCTCATCCCACTCATCCCACCTGTGCTCTATGGAACCTGGCTGGCTCTTGTGTCCTGCTAAGAAACCTTGACCAAGTCATGGTGTAAAACTGTGAGGCGTCACCCGCAGCCCTTCCCCGGAACACGACGCCCTGACGCCCGGAAACGCCTCCGGGTCGGGTTGAAGTTGAAGTTTGTGGAGCACCGTGTCCGCCTCAGAGCCGAAAGAGGTGAGGAACTCTCGTTCCAACTTCCATCCTCCGGTCCCCTCCGGGTTTCGAGCCATGCAAGTCGTCCAGCCGCGCTGAAAAGTTCGGCCGGAGCTTGAGCAAGGTCCCGAGCACCACGCGTAACCAGCGACACCCAGTAAGACTAGCCATGGTGCCATGGCACCATTGGGCGCCATTTTCGCAAGCCTCATCCAGGCGGAGAAACGCTTCGCATACTTGCTGGGGGTTCTCCTTTGGATCCTGTGAAGGGGCAAGGTCCTGCAACCATCAAATACTACAAAGCTTGCTCTCAAGCATCTGATTGCGTGCCGGGCGTGCACAGGCTGACAACATACGGGTACTGCGTATATTTGTCAAAAAGGCTTATCACATCTTTGCACCGCAGGGGGCATACACGTTCTATGATGCTCAATGAATTCAGCTTCGTTAATTATGCCAACACACAAACGAAACAACTCATCCATGCGCCTTCCAGGTGTGCGGATTGGTTCCCCAATCAGGGGTACACCTTGGTGACAGGATGTTGCTCTTTGGATCCGGCCTGCCAAACATGGCATGGAAACAGGGTCCACAACCCCCCAATCAATTCAAAGTCTGGGCTCATGGAAAGCGTTACCCACGTTCATTTTGCCAACCTGCGGCTACGTGTGACGCACCCTTTTTCGCCTCGCCGGTGCCCGGGTCGGATCAGAGCGACAGAGCGATCTGTTTGATGCGCGCCACACATGTCCAATTTGCCTCATTGGTTCTGGGCAGCCACGTGGTGAAGTTTGAGCTCTAGTATAGGTATCGGGGACATGTCCCTTACCTTCCACCCGCAAGCCGCCACAACTGCCCATTTGTCCTCTTTAGGAGAAACGCAACATGCTGCTGATGCTATCTGCAATCCAGCCGGGACGATTGATGACACCATGCACTCACTTTGTCCAGGCACCTTCGGAAACTAACCGGGCCGCTGACAAACAATTTCGTTTTAAGAGCATGTTCAGGATTCAGTGGGATGCTGTGAAGACTGATTTTCCCCTTTGTCCTCTTGAAAAAACAGCCAAATCGCTAAGAAGTTTGCTGCCAAATCCACAAAATGGTGATGTTGGATGCAGCCAGCACCGAGTACTTGAGCATGTTCATGCCAACATACTGCGAAAGTTGGCACTCAGTGGCATGCTCTCGCTCTGACTGTGGCTTTCTGGGGCCCCCCAAGACCACACAGTTCACCCACAAACAAACCATATAAAAGGTGGAAACAAACATGACCACCGTGCAGAGTCACTGGGAACCGCACCTTGTGGAAAAAACCAAACCGCCCGAGAGCGGTTTGACGCCATCGGAAAACGGCACCCTGCGCCTTTTCTAAAGTCCGATCTCCAGGTCCAGTCCTTGGGCTTCGGAGCCCGAGACAAAGAACCTGTCTTTCCTGCCCCGCATGCTCCAAGTCAGGACCCATGGCTCCGAAGGGAATTCACCTATCGGAGGCTTCTGTTCGCAGCTTGAAACCTTTCCTCTGGTCTGGCGACAAATGCCAGAGATTCAGAGAAGATGAGTCTGATAAAGTCAAAGATTGGAAATTGATCTGATCTGATTTCTGCAAAGTGAGAAAATAGAGCTGTATGTCCCGAAGCTACAACTTCAAACCTCCCACTATTGGTCACTGCACCAGTCGGAGAGTTTTGGTCTTTGGAATCGTGGCCCGAACTGAAGATATGTTTGAACAAATCCATTGTTCCTCACATTTCCAAATGTGTGCTCCACGAGTTCGACCGGACCGTCGCCACGCCTCACGGCCCGTGTCACCGATGCTGCTGTTGAAAGGAGGTGGATCGTTGTGCTGCTCTTGAGCGCTTCTGCGATCGCCTGGCAGAGCGTCGAAGCCGACCCTGCAAATCCCACGGCTGGAAAGAACAAACACACCCAAGGTTCAGATTTCACTCGGGATTGGAGACTTCCTTCGGTGAGAAAACAAACACAATGATGACAATAGCATTACAAAGCCATGAAGAATAATGTTCGAAGAATAGAAACACATGCTGGAATTGTGTGTGTGTGTGTGTCTCCACTTTTCGACGGCAACCAAGAGAATGTCTAAAATCTGAGAGAAACGGTGCTTTGGTTGAAGGCTGGAAATGCCAAGTGGGAGGCACCCAAACCTTGAATAACAAAGTGGATAACCTTCGACAAATTGGGAACTGAAACTGAGCCTCAGGTCAAGTCAGAAGCTTGAGAAGCTTGCCAATTGAGATCTTTCGAGCCGATGAAGACCACAACCATTGATAGACTACCTGCAGGCCTTCCTTGTGCGCTTCCAATTGGTCAAGGCGGCGAGGAGGAGGCTTTGGAGCCAGAGACAGCGAGAGATGATGTGGTGAAGCTCAAGAATGGCATGCCTCGGCGTGTGGAGGAGAGGCTGCAGGCTATGAGCTCTTGAGCTACAACAAGGCGAAGACCCAGCCCAAGAAGCTGAACACCGGATGGAGATCTGCGTGAGTGCGGCGGATCGGGAGAGGATCAGCAAACTTGAGGTGGAGTTGGCGGCCCTCCAAACCTGGACCAGGAAACCACTAGTACCGGAGAAGGAAGGTGCATCTACGGGAGATTGAGCAGGTGTCTGCCGATGAGAAGTACCAGCCGTTGGCGGCGGATGAAGATTACGACCCACAAGAAGGTCCAGAACATGACCCGGGACACGACGGCGCTCGGATTTGTTCTGAGATGTTCTGAGTCTGCAGGTGCTTCCTCCGTGGGACCTCAAATATGGACAAGACCTCCGACAGGCTGAACACAGGTCCGAAGAACTGGTTGCTGTGGGAGAAGCGGCTTGGACTTTCTGCGGGTTGAACCATTCTCCTCTAAAAGTACGGGGGCTGAGACGGAGTGCCCTGTAACAGGTGGACAAGGCGCGGACTATTCAACCTGGACCTCTGCTAGTTCGGGATGAGGAGCCTGGACTGCCGTCTGCGGCGTGGCAGTTTGCCAGGGTGTCCTGAAGGCCTGTCTCAGGCCCAGGTCGGACTCCGGGCGTTGCAGTGTCCAAGACCCCCCTTTTTAGTGGTCATGTCGGTAAGACAATCTAAAGGGTCGCTTGAATTCATGGAGGACGAGGCGGAGTTGGCGCCGGGGGAGGAATGGCAGGGCTCCGAGGGCATCGGCTTCACTGAACAGGTGCCCATCAAACGGGCGGCAGTCTGCAAGAAGCTCCATCACAACCTGGATCCCCCGCCGAACGCTGACGATAACTTGCGGGTGGGCCAAGAGTTTGAGGTGCCTGACATGCAGTCGATGCTCAAGTCTCATCGGGGAGACCCTGGCGATGGACGTCATCCACTTGATCTGGCGCACCAACGCCGTGGGCTGCTGGCTTTGTCCCTGCGCGTGATCGGATTCGAGGGCAACAACGTCTGGCTGTTTGCTGCGCGCCAGGAAACATCTACGGCAGGCAGACAAGGTGATGCGCAACCCCTCCTGGAGTTCATCGAACACGTGGAGACGGGAGAGTAGCTTCAACTGGAAGCGGAGGAGGTTCCCTCAGCGCCGGAAGATGCGATCATGGATGAATGGGTGAAGAAGGCCGGTAGAGGTCGCTGGGCAGGCGGAGTTAGAATCCTGTTCACTGCTTCAAGCCAAGAGGGGACCAGTAGTAAAAAGGGGGAGGAACTCACAACTCGATCGGCCGAATCGCCCTGCTCCTTTTTTTATTAGGCGTCATTAGGCGCTATATTATTGCTTCTTAATGCTCCCCCGCTTTTAACATAAATATCATCAGCAAATAAATTACCCATTACATCAACAGTGCTTGTGTTAAAAGTCCATCCGGTAGAAATATTAACTGCTCCAACTATATTAGATTGAACGGCAGGATCTCCACAAATAAATCTAATTGAAGAATTGGCATCACTATTCCTCATATCAAAAGATGAAAAAGCACTAACATATCTATATAATTCACAATTTGTATCAATTGTTAATTTACCATCAGTATCAATATTAACATTATCACAATTAACAGCAGCATTCGTATAAATATTACCTAACACGTCAACAGGTTTATTAAAAATAGTTTTATTCACTAATCCATCACACATCATATATTGATTACTGGCATTAGTAATATCACCAACGCTAACAGCAACAAAATTAGGATGATGTATATAAAAACCTTCTGTTGCATCTGGTGTATATGTTTCTAAATATGGTTCTAGTCCATTTATTGAAGTATTGATATTATCAATTTTAGTTTTAATATCTGTTGAAAAATCATTATTTGTAAATAAATTACCTTTCATATAAACAGCACCTTCAAAATATGAAGTTCCGTGTGCTTGAGCAAAATTGTATGAAGTATGAACATTACCATTAATTGTAATTCTTGAAGCATTATTGGGTCTTCCAATAATAACATCTCCTGTATTCCATCCTAACCATAATCTATAAGGAGTAGCACCTGTTAGTCCTTGGTAAGAGTCTAACTGACATCCTCGTTTAAACTCGAGTCTTTGGTTACTAACTGCGTCCTGGATTCTAAATATTGGATTAGTATTATCTGTTAAACTAAGTATTAATGGAGAGTTTACTGTTTGTGCAGTTGTATTAACTTTGTCTAATTTTTGACTTATTACTGTATCTTGTGCGCTATCATTTGTAATTATTGAATTAATTGTATTTGTATTTCCTGTTATTAATCCACTTAATCCATCTGATTGTAAAACATAACGCGCATCTGAACCTGCTATATCTAAAATAGATGAACACGAAAATACACCCGATACTTGTAAATTACTTAGTATTGTAGTATTATGATTTAATATTATTTTATCATTTTGAAAAATTGAAGAATTATTAATTTCTACATCTCCAAAACCTCGCTGGTTTAAAAACATAGTTGAACCAGTCAAACTTCCATAAACATAACTATCAAAATAATTATTATACATTTCAAAGAAATTGTTATAATTTCCAAATTCTGCTATTTTGACAGTTGCAGTAGTTGTTATATTATGTATTAATGTATTATTTAATACTGATGTATTTAACTTTTCTGATAATAAATTATTAGTTGTTATTTTATTATAGTAATCTGTTTCATTAAATGAACCACCATTCTGTAAATCTGATATTGCTATAATATGTGAATTTACTGTGCTATTTAATCCTGTTATTAAATTAGAATTAGAACTAATATTATTAAAATTAGATGTTATAGTAGAATTTAAATTATTTATTAAATTAGAGTTAGAACTAATATTATTAAAATTTATATTAATTAATTTTGTATTTGATGAAATATTATTAAAATTAGATGTTATAGTGGAAGTTAAATTATTTATTAAATGTGAATTTGATGAAA